TCTGTGATTCTGTGATTCTGTGAAATGGCAACAGAGATGAATTCCCCTGAGAGCAGCTTCCCAAAGGGCCACTGGTCACTGATGCAGATACCTCAGCCAGGCCCAGACACTGCAGCCTGAACACCTCTGGCAGCTTCAGCCTGCTCTGATGAAAGGGAAGGTTCCTCCTTTGAAATGCAAGCAAAGCAGGGAGATTTCAACCCAAACCCTCTGCAGCCAGAGCCTCTCCAGCCCACACAGCCTGAGGGAATCAAACAAGGAGCTGCACACCTGCAAGATACCAGCAGGGCCGTACTTAGTCACCTTTTGTTCGTGGGGAAGCAGCGAGAAGAGGACTAGGGGCTTCCCTTCTTTGAAGCTCTCCATCACTGAGACAGGGACATTGCAGAGATGAAGTGTAACGTACCAGCCAACCTGCCAAGAGAGGATCAGCTGTGAATGCTTCTCTCAACAGAAAAGTGTCAGAAGTAACATGTGCCTGGGTTAGAAAGGGAATCCAGGAACATAACATCATCTGAACTCATGGGTTCATGCTAAGAACCAGCTGGCTGAGAGATCCACCCAGCCACCTCCCTGACAAGTCTTTACTCTTAGGAGCAAGGGAACACAGCAGGGGGAGAGATCAGCAAGAAAAAAGGGAACTACCGAGGCTCCTTCAGTCTCCTCTTTCTCTATTTGCCGGAAGAGGTGCCTTCTGGTTCGGGAGAAGTCCTGGAACTGGAAAATCCTGGCATAATCCCTTGGGAGATTCTCTTTGGGGTCCCATGGAGAAGTCCGGAAGCTCTTCAGCCCCCTGTACTTCTGGAACCTAAGGGATGGATAACAAGAAAGACAAACTGCTTCACAAATCCTAGTGTCTGGCCAGCACCTTCTGTGGTCTGCAAACACTGGCACCTTTAGAGAAGACAAAGGAAACAAAGCAAATGCTAGCTCTCAGAAGAGGTCTTAGTGCAGAGAGAACAACAAACAGCAGCCAAGTCCCTAAACAACCTTGTCCTTGCACCAGGGCTCTGCCATCCCCTCTCTCTCCCCAGTCAGGACCCAGCTCTTCCCACCACAGAGAGCTGCCCAGGCCCACCCACTGCCCCCCACCAGAGCCTCCCCTGGAAGCCTCAGAGCCTAAGGATGTTTCTTCAGAAGAATCCTTCAGCCAGGTTCAGACACCATGGCTAAGACATCACAGGCTTCCTGCCCTATGTCACCAAACTGGACAGAAGGGCACCTTCCAGCTCCTCTCCCAGCAAAGCATCCTCTTTCTTACCGGACCCGGGCAGGTACGTCACGTGGCGTGTCCACCTCATCCGGAAACATTTCGTCCATTCTCTCCTGTTTGTATCTCTCCAGCATCTCTTCATCTTCCTCCACCTTCTCGTCGTACTGGTCATCCCGCAAGCAATCGGAAACGGTCATGGTCTCGCACTCCTCCTCTGCGGCTTCCTCTTCCTCCTCACTGCCTTCCCCCTCCTGACAGAGGACAGCACAGAGCCCATGAGCACAGGGGCTCTGGTGATGTCCGTGCAGCGCTACAAACCCTGTGTGCACTCGCACTGTGTGAATTATGCCCCAAGCTACACCAGAGTCCCTCATTTTGGTATCCAACAGGCCAAAGAAGAAACGTGATACATGGAAGAGATTTAACTGCGTTGTACTCTTGCATGGAGCAAGCTGGAAGGACAGGATTATCCTAGGATACACAGGAACGCTCTGGAAATAGTCCACAGTATCAGCTCTTGGAATTACCTGGGAAACTGCCTCTTCCATCATATCATCATCAATGTCATCATCTTCATTGTCATCATCATCATCTTCCTGATTGCCTTCTTCATCATCCACAATCCAGGCAGCCTGGTACTTGGATGTGCCTTTGGGGACCTTCACCACCCTCCTGTTCGCCTCCAGAGAAGCTGTGGGATCCCCACCAACAGTTAATACAGGAACAATTCTCCTTTCCCTCAGCCACATTTACACTGGGACAGACAAGGTGAGCTCTAGACCAAAGTCGCTGTTTCCCAGCACAGAATCTGGCAGGGGCCAGAAAAGGCAGTTAAAATGTAACCCTGCTAACTGCCAGGCAAACCACACAGCCTGCTCGTCAGGTGATGGGACTGGGAATGGAAACTCTGGGCTTCCCATTAGTTTCTTCACAGCCATCCCAGTGACAAAGGGTTTCTAACAACTCTCAACAGGGACAAGGAAAAAGTACACAAGTATTGGTGCTCCTCACCCTCTGCTTCTTGCAGTTCTTCTTCAGTAGGCCACGTCTGCTCCCCTTCCATAGGATCAGGAACCACTTCTGACTGCAAAGACTCCTGCTTGTTTGGATCTGCCTTCATCAGGACCTTGACATCTTCCTCCATCTCATCGGTGCCATTTACAGAGTCCTCCTGAAGGGCAGGAGCAGAGTTCCCAGCTGTAAACACACCCAACTCATGCTAGCTATTGGTCTGAAAGCCCTGATTCCCCTCCTCATACCTGTACCTCCATGTCCTGACTCCTCTTCTGTCTTTTAACCACTCGGGGGTTCAAAGAGAGGGGATCAGGAGGTGCATCCACCTGGCTCATCTGGAAGTCTCCATGCCCCACGATATGCACCAAGCTGTTCACATCGAGGGTCTGTCCCCGGACAAAGCCCGACACCTTCAAGGTCCCAACCAGGTCACTCTCCTGACCAGGCACAAACTCAGCAGCATAGGCAAGCAGGTGAGCCCGCCTGTCCCGAAAAGCGAGGTGCCGCTGCTTCTGGGTGGCGAGGTGCCTCAGCAGCAGCGAGGATTCCTGCTCCGTGTTCAGGGGAAAGAGCTTGGCCTCAGGAAAGCGCTTCTCAATGGCTTTGGCAAGTTTCTTCCTGGCGTCTATCCGCTTCTTTGGTGGCAAATCAGTGCCCCCTGGGACAGCAAGAGCTACCAAACAGCACACAGAGCAGAGTTCAGGATCTGATGGTAAACCTTCTTGTACCCCTTTACCAAGCATTAACCAAGACTCAGATGTCAGCAGCCCAAAGAACCAAACAGATTCACACCCCCAGATGCAAAGGCAGTTTCACCCAGTCGAAAGAACAATCAAGACAGAAAACCCGTCGCTGTTCTACGCTCACAAACAGAGCGGTCCAAGACCTGTGATCACCCATTAATACACAGTTTTTAATTACTACAACAGCAAATTCCCATCAAGCACCCCCTCAGCCTATACCCCACTAGAAGCCCTTAAAGTTTCTCACTCACTCACCATAAGTGGGGAGCCCCTGTGCGAAGAGGCAGGAGAGGCAGTGGTCCCCTGCACTGTCCCAGCCATCTACAGGATCCAGGATGAACAGGAGGGAGTCGGCGACCTTGGCTAGGTCTAAGACAGCGTGAAGATCTCCTGCACACAAAACACCTCCATTACCAGGGCTGCCAGGGGCACAGAGCCAAGAACCACACCAACAGTGGTGTTTCCTCACCTGTCTGTGCTGTCACGAAGCGCCAGCGCTGCTTGAGTCGGGGGCAGAGGAGCGCAAAGCCACCAGCTCTCCCCTCATCCACACGGACAACAGCCGAGTCCTGGCTCTGCAGTAAGTGGAGGGTGTCGTGGGCTGCAGCCCTGCTGTGCAGCGGCACCAGAACCACGAGGTGTGGGGGCCCATCCCTGCTGCCCAAGCTCCGCTTCTCTGTCAGCACCTGTGGGCACAACCGCAGAGCATGAACCCCGGCCCCAATCCAGTTCATATCCTGCCCCCGACATCAACACCAGATCCCCCCGCAGCTCGACCAAAACCTACTCTGTCCGGTAACGCCCTGCTTGCCCCAGATTGAACAGACTCAGCTCCTGATCCCCCCACACAGACCCAAAGTGGCCCGGTCCCCACAGACACCCATACGCATCGAGACCCCTACCACACCCTCACAATGATCCGCACCGGCCCATCCCCCGCTCCTCCCACAGCATTATAACCGACCCGGTTTCCCCAGGGCCCTCACCG